GAATTATCTATCTGTGTGTATAGTTCTGTGTGCATATAATTAAGACTATATCAAAGTTTCTGTGATCACACTAGAAATTTTGCATAGGTAAATCCTAAGTAGTTTGAAGAATTTCAACACCAAGTCAGTTCCCTTAAATTAAACATTTCTTACAAATCTAGAAACTTTGATAGTGTAAACTTAATCAGCATTGACTATTTGCTCCGAAAGGGGTGGCCAAAAGCTAGGAGAGGAGAGAAAGTTATCCTAAAGTCCGTTTTCCACTAGGCGAGATTGTTTTCGCGAAGCAACATTTGATTCGCTGTTGCTGACGTGATGTGTGATGGCGACAGAGAAAGAAGTTGCTTCGCGCGAACAATTTCGCCTGGTGGAAAATGGACTTAGAAGAGGAGATAAAACGAGAGAGGAAGAAAAATAAAATTAAAATTCGCAAAAAATAAGATTCTCAAAAAGTTTGAAATTTTCTCGCAAATTCTCAATAAGAATTTCACCTCAAAAATGCAAAAGATCGCAATAGCATGACTAGACAATTGGTAGCTTAGTCCCCCCCTTTCCAAAAAGCATTAAAACGTGAGTATTCACTACCCCAGATCAGTCTTCAATTATCAACTTTTTCGCCAGACCGTTCCTCGATAAGGGAAGAAAATGGCCATTCCGAATTTGGTGGTGGGATAAAAATAACCCTGTACTGGTAACTTCATGCACCTCTGGTTTGTAGTCCTCAGGGACAGGTTGTTCAAAGGTGGGTTAGCGCTGACCCTCGGTTAAAATTTAACCCGCTGTTTTGGTTTGTGTATTTCTGCACGTCTGTTTATCTCAAAACGTCAGAGAAGTGAACTCCTATCGATCCAGACAAGATTTCTGAAGAAACAAGTCTAAGTTTATAAGCAAGCTGTCAGGAAATTTGCTTTGAATTTTAAGTTAACCTAGGGTTAACGTAATCGGCTTTTGAACAACCAGCCCTAGCAGTTTTGGGATAGTAACTTCGTATCTAAAACTGTAATCTAAAACTCACTGAAAAATAATTTCTGATTTTTCCAATCTGGCATCGATACCATCAATATCATTCCTTAATAGACCTTTCCGGTAATTACGTCACAACTGACACTGTTTTCAACTTAGGACCACCTTAAATGGAATAGATTTCAAGTTTGTTTCTCACGGGCTATGGTCAGAGAAGCAGGACATCCTTCGTCAACACATGCATAAAAAGAATTTTGGATTTTGACTATTAAATGTGGAAATAAGCTTAAACACGAAAACGAGGCTGAGGGGCATAGCCGCTCTTGACCCATCAGCCTCGTTTTGTTTAAGCTTATTTCCACATTTACTGGTCAAAATCCAAAATTCTTTTTTATACATGTGTTGAAGAAGGATGTTCTGCTCCTCTGACCATAGCCCGTGAGAAACAAACTTAAAACCATTCCATTCAAGGTGGTCCTAAGTTGAAAACAGTGTTAGTCGTGACGTACTGTAATTACCGGAAAGGTCTATTGGCCAGCTTACATGAATGTATACTGAATCTCTTGCAGTTCGTCTAAAATGGAGGAATTTAATTATCTCTATATCAAACCGTACTGTCGCATTCATCCTTACTTGGTCGGTCTGGTCGTTGGCTATTTCATGCACAAAAGAGCGTTCAGAGCAAAGCAACTGAATTGGGTGAGCATAATAGAGAGTTTAAGTTCGACTTCCAATACCAATACCGATACCACTGTTTTCACTTCCGTTCTCATTTTGGTACCGCGAATTTTAAAGCGTTAAGTCATCACGACAGATAAAGTATAGACCACATTAATCGTCACCGAAAATGTGCGGTATACTAAACGGCAGCTGAGCTAAAATTCCGACTAAAACATGACTCAGGCGATGGTAATAAACAAATAGTTTACATGTTTATCGTAAAAATTATGAAATATCCGATTTATATGAGTTTATCTTACAATTCCCCCGACTTCCAATACAAGGCCGACTTCGGTAGTGGTGACTTCCAATACACTTGTCCTCGTGCTTCTTGCGAGCAGAGAGCATGCGCATGACATGTTGTTAGTATCGGTATTGGTATCGGAAGTCGAACTTAAACTCTCTAATAAAACTGTTCGGAACTGATAGAAATTATTGTTAGTTTAGGTTTGCATGCACCAATATAAAAAATGGCCTTTCTTGGCCCATGCTATGAAATTGATGGAGCTATAGAGATACTGATAGAGCATACTGTAGGTCTCTAGGAAAACTGTTCAGAACTAGAAATTATTGATAGTTTAGGTTTGCATGCGCAATAAGATATGGCCTTTCTTGGCCCATACTATATAGAATTGATAGAGCTATCATGTACTGTATAAATATAGTTACAGTAGAAAAATAATGTAGTTTTGCCGAATACATCAAAATCATCCTGCCTCATACTATCTCGTCTTGTCAAAACGGGATCATGTAAACAACCCATTATTAAACTGATAGTTTCTTTACGCAGGCTAACTGATAGAGGCCGCAGCAGTGCAGTATGTTTTTCAATTGCTTTTATTTTCTAGCCGTTTGCTGTTATTTTCTGGTTTATTGCTGCTGCCGTTGCTTTGTCTGTCATCTATGGACCCTTCACGGCATTGCGTGAGGACCCACGACCATGGACGATGACCGAAAAAATACTTTATAACACAACAAGACATTTAGCATGGGGTATTATCCTGGCTTGGGTGACCTATGCTTGTGAATACGGATATGGAGGTGAGTGTGTTCCGGTGAACTGCGCCCCCCCCCCCCCCCGCCTCCCCCACAATCTTTTTGAGTATAGGGCACTAAGGGCAGATTCTGCTTAAAAATCGGGCGGCCTCTATTACAAAATCAGGAAAATTGGGGGCAAATGATTAAAGGGAAGCGTCACGCTTATTAAAATCGGGGGAAATTAGAAAGAAATCTGTAACGTTTTGAAAATGTCTGATTTCTCGAAAATGTTTTGCATATGTTCAACAATTCCCATCAATCTCAGGCAAATTTATGCCCTCCGCTCCCTATCCCTCCCCC